GAGGACTCCTGGCCAAGGAGGACTTTCCTTCTCCAAACCTCAGTTTTCCCATCTGTTTAATGCAAGGTTTTCACCAGAGGAGCCTGCTGACATTCTAAGCTTAGCTGTCAAGTAGAAAACAGTGCCATGAATACATGAAGCAGTTTAAGCACTGCCAGTTTCTGGGCCTGGAGTTGCTGCCAGCTCCGAAGTCTTTGCATAATTTTTGAGTAAAACAAGAGATTTAGCTGAAATTAATAGCACAATAGGAAACCAAACTAGGTAGGGCTAGACAATAACAGAACAGACCGAAACCGTGCAGCTGAGAAGTCTCTATCGTTCTCAGCGCGCCCCCTAGTGGCCTAACGGAAGGTTCAGGGTTTCTGCAGATAAAGAGCAAGGTACCTACCAGAGAAAGGCCGGCTCCTGCCTACTGATGCAAGTGGCTTTCACTCGAACCTAGTCGGTGGATCAGACAAGCTAGCAGAAGGCCTGCCAGGAAGCCTCAGAAACGCTCAGAAAGGCGTCTGTCATAAGACAAGGAGTCATTCAAACGGTTGGAGGCAGCTCCCCAGTATTTAGACATTGGGGTCTCTTCACCAATCCCTGACACACCCTTACCACTCAGCCCTTCACATTCTCACACCCTCAACCTGCCGCTGGAACTGCGTCTGGTTCTCTTTATTCTGCTTTCCAACTTCCCAGGGTGATTCTTCAACAGTTATTAGGACAACGCAAGCAAAAAGCTAAGCTTCATTTTGCTTAGTCCACGTCTAGCCTGGGGAACATCACCTCAGAAGAGAAGCACGAATGAAGGGCATGTTTCTCAGCCCCTGCTTCCACAAACCTGGAAGGGTGTTCATCAAAGGACATCTATCACCTCCGTTTTCATATTGCCAACCTACAGAAATGGCACCTGCCCAGAGTAAATTCTCCACTGCTTGGCTTGCTGTCTACTTTATTACAGAGGCTGTTGAAAAACAAAACTTTTAAAAAGTATGCCGTCTCAAGCTCCGAATTCATCAACCACAAACTGTTAAAAAGAAAAGTTACAGGATAAAGTTGGATCGAACCTAATAGTGAATCTGAGAAATGAGGGACTCGTCCAGGCATCCAAATATCTGAGGATTTGGGGGCTGAATTTGGCTAACTGGCACTCCAGTATTGCCACAGAACTCTCCCCTGCACAAATGTGAAGGATAAGTGTCAACATCAACCTACCACTTCATTTGACAGTTCGTTTTGCTTTATCCTGTATTCGTTTGTTCCGTTATAAGCCACGCTGGGCCCCCAAATACCCCTAAAAGTGCACGCAAGGAGTTCAATAATTAGTTTCTGACGCTGGCTCGAAATCAATTAAAATACATTTGACCTGCCTCAAATCAAAGAACCATGGTAATTTTCTGACCCACACCACACAAAATCTTTCTGCAACCGTCAGTCACAGTGAACCCAACTCTAGCCACAAGCAGTGTGGATTTCAAGGGCCTGAGCAGCAGAAAGGAAAATGACAACAAACTGAGGCTGGGAGATGCAGAGAGACCCCCAAGCCACTGAAACGCTCCTCAGGACTGAGCAAATGGTGCTAGGACCCTGGCTCTCAGCTGTCACCAGGCCGCTGGGGCAGACCTGTAAGCACCTTGGTAGTCCTGCAGCCAGAACCTAAAACGCAATTCCGCCTCTGCACCGCTACCCAGCTACCCACGCTCCAATCCTCCTAAATGCCAGATGCAAACTGTCAGTAGCCTTTATTTTTGTTTCCTAGCCTCTTTGAAAAAACAGGCAGGAGTCCGCCCTCCCTTGCAGCCACAGCCATATCAGGGTAACCAGGAGTCCAAGCGGCAGGATGCAGAGAGAGGGTCTGTGGGTGCGTGGGGGACCCGGGTAAGGATACTCCCGGGTAAGGGACCAGCTCTGAGCTGAAGGTGTGGGTTTGTCTGGAGTTCTACAATAGAAATGAGGTATTCCAGGGCATTGCCTGAATGTGTGCCCGCAAGCGAGACGCAGAGGGTCTTGCTGCCTGCAAAGTGTTTGCATATCATAAACACTACTTTGCTCTGGGATTAAACACACACACACACACAAAATATGTGCAGACAGGATGTAACAAGTGTTTCGCGAGGGAGACACGCCGGAGTCGTGGGGTACTGGGGAAGAATGAGGAGTCGATCAGAGGAGCGGGTTCCTAAGAAGCCCCCTCTGAATCAAGAGACCCCCAGAGCGCACAACCCCCAGCCCGCACGCCCTCGGCCCCAGCAGCGACTCGCCCGCACCCCCGGGATTTCCCCACTCACCACTCGGCCCGAAAACCTCTCAGTGGCCCTCTTGACTTTGCCATAGGTGCCTTTGCCCAGAGTCTCCTGCAGCTCGTAGCGGTGCTTTAAGTTGTGCTTGTGGTGATGCCGCTTCACCCCGTGTGGCTTCCGGAGCTCCGGGGCCGTCACCGCGGGGGCTGCAGTCGCTCCCGCCACCGCCTCGGGGGAAGAGCTCCGCACCCCGGGCCCCAAGTCGGGGCCGGCTCCCGCCCC